GGGTGGGAGGTGTTCTAGGATAGTACAAGGTCCATAAGGAAAAACCATCAGGCCACCTGAGGGTGTGCCTGGATACACCTGGCTGTGAGTGACCAAACAACCCGGGTGGGTGGGGGACAAGGGAACCCCTAGAAGCTTGAAGGCCAAAGGTGGAAGAACAGTCCACTAATCTCTACTGACTCTTGTCCATAGGGTACCTAGCCAGCTTTCCCAGACTGCTGATGTCACCCTCAATTTAACAGCTGACCAAAAAAGAACCTAATCTAAAGACTTTTGGAGGCTTCCTAGAGGTGCCATCTCTAGGAGTGAGCAGCCTTTACTTAACACTAGAACAAGATTAGCATTCTGAGCTATTATGATTCTTTTAGCCTCACTGTATTCACAGACTATAGCAATTACTCTAAATTTAACTGGTGTTGAATCTGCCATGCCCCACCAGCCCTTGGTAGCAAAAACTTAATAAAATTCAACCCTGACTTCATGTTAGCAAAATGCTGCTGCTGAGGTTGCCACTAATGCCTGTGTGTCAGGCCTGTCCTCATTTGCCAAGCACAACCTGGTGTAAACTCTCCACATTAGTGGTGATGAAACAGTTGTTGCCTGGCCTCCCGCTGGCCGTCTGGGGCAGAGCATGTGCTGCTGCCAAAGCCTTGTGTCCCTGGATTAATAACACTAACAACTGGCTTGGTTCCAGGTGGGGAGCCTGGCTGTGGTCCATCCTCTGAGTGGAGACGTGGTCATGGCCATGCATCCAATGTTGCCAAGACAAACCAAGGGGATTTGGTGCAAGTACAGTGATTTGGTAGCAGCAGTCAGTGTGTGTGACAGGGTGGTCTGTTCCTTCTTAGCTGGGTATGTGGCAGGTCAGAGGATGGGGCTGCGAAGGCTGGCTCCATCACAGCACCCTGGCAACCTCACATGTCTCCAGTAGGTCATGTAGGCAGTTTAATTGCACAGATCTCAGTCGTGGCAGAATACCCCTAATCCTCCTGGAGCACATAAGCGCCTGGTGGTTGTGAGCAGACACACGGCCACTTCCCTCACTTCCCCACTTCCTGGGAGGCCATCATGAGATGCTCCTCAGTATCTTCTGGGCTCTGAGTAGGAATGAGACTCTCTGCCTTGGGTTTCCTCCCCCACCTGCCCAAGTACAGCCAGAGGCTCAAAAGCTGCTTGGCTGCAGCACCACACGGGCTCCACAGCAGTGGGCATCCCATGGTCTGTGTTGGTGTCACCCAGCTCCTTTTACACTGGTGCTGTCCCATGGAATAAGGGATGTGGGCAGTGGCACCTGTGGCCTCTTGCTTTTGTTGTCTTTGTAACTGATAGACTGTCTAGATCTAACTAGGCAGGGGCACACTGCCTCTTTCCTGGCTGAATCCAGCAGTCTTGCTGCAACAGTGGCAGCCCTGGTGCCTGCGGACATGTCACCTTACCGTTTTTAAGGTCTTCTGAAGCTTTTGCCTCTTCCCCGACTGAAAAGGCAGATTTGGGCTTGCTATTTTGTATCTGTATCTCTTTTTACAAATATACCTATTTCTGATTTGGTCTAAAAATCTTACCTCTTTGCATTTCCTTCTCCCGCATCCTCAAAATGTGTGCAAACGTGTCCATGAATCTTAAGTAGCTACTGGCAGTGATACAGTAATGCCTTCCTGTTTTTTGAAAGTATTTTGTGCTCAAGTCTTTTGCACTTTGGTGGATTTGGACACACGTTGTGGCAAGTTTTTCTTTTAAGTTCTGAAAAAATTTTTTTAAGAATTAAGGGAAGGTAATCTAAACATACATAAAAAAGAGGAAATTGAATGCTGTGAATAACTTGGAATAGTTTATCACTTGGAGCTGTGGAGACGTAGAAAGAGGCCCTGAATGAATGGAGCCAAGAATACATGGTTTTAATGGTTGGGATGCTGTTAGGGTGATGATGAGTAATGACATGCCAGACACATTCTACTAGGTTTTCCCTTATTTCTGCTAAGCTACCTAAGGACTCAGGACTCCATGGCCAATGGCCAAGGTTTATGGTGTTTCCTTCATCTCCCATCCTCCTTCATTGAAGTAGATCAGCAGCAGCAAAATACTCCAATTCCTGAGTAAAATAAAGCTGCAAAAATGTATGAGCCCCAAGGAAATATTGATATATAGATGGGCAAAACTATACAAGGAAGTGTCCCCTTTGCTTAGCCGTGGAAAGAATTCTGACTGGACTATGACCCAGTCCTTGTTATCCATCTCCAGTCCACCCGGCCAGGCCAATCACCTGGGTGCTTTTAGCCCAGCTGCATTTTCCTCCTGGTTCCACTCTTCTCCACCCTTCTTGGTCTTTGCTGTTCTTGAACACATGGACAAATAAGGTTGCCTGCCCCTTTCTAGGTCCCACACTGAGCTTTAGGCCTCTCTGCATTTACAGCTTCTTTGTCAGGAGCCTGTGGAATCTTCAATCTAATCACACTGGAAAAGATCCTTACTGTGGCTCATGAATTCTGGGCTGATTTTGTGTGCGGTTTGTGCTCTTATTTCTTTGTAGCTGTGTTGTTGCAGCAAAGCCAGAGAAATTGAGGGGGCAGGCACAGAAGGCTGCAGCGTCCTCACCACAGGATCTGGTGGGCAAAACGGAGGTGGTTTTCCTTCACGGGAATCTGCTATTCACCATAACGGAGGGCAGAATGGTGAAGAGACCCAGGCAGTGAGGAATCTGGACATCTTTGAAATAGGGGTAAGTACAGGGCAAAAAAGATGAGGAATTGATAAGGAGTCAAGAAAAACACTTGAATTATTTTATAATTTTGCCTAGAGATGCCTATTTTTTTCCTTCTAGGGTTCATTGTTATTCAGACATGACATTGTCAGATTCTGTTAATACATTGAAACCTTCCCTCATATGAGATTTTTTATGAGGTTTTATTTACCTTTCTGTTTTTTAAATCCACCTTTTCTCTTAAGAAAGAGTTGGCTACAATAAGGAGAGCTTCGTCTGGCCACTTCTCATACCAGTCAGTTGTGCAGGCACTAATCATGAAGAATACACTCTACAATTTCGGTGGAAGTTAGGTCTTGCGGGACTCATGGTCATAAAAATATGAAGATTTTTATATATTCTCTGAAAATTATTGAAAATTTAAGTTGTTACAAAGTCTAACCCATTGTTAAGGGGCATTATAATTAGCACACATAATATAGGTAGGTCACGGGGAAAGCAGTATAGCATGGAGAAGTCAAGTGACTCTATTGCATCTTACTATGCTGATGGGCACACAAAATCAGCCCAGAATTCATGAGCCACAGTAAGGATCTTTTCTAGTGTGATTAGACTGAAGATTCCACAGGCTGCTGACAATGGGGTGTGTGGGGGAGCCTTCGTATTATGGGTGAATGTTGCAACCACAATGTTGCTCATGTGAAACCTTCATAAATTGTATATCAATGATACTTTAATAAAAATAAAAACAAACAGAAACTGTAATCCACTGGTTTGAAAAAGAGTCCTATCAGGAATTCCATTTAAAGTTTGTTTCAATTCTTTCCTTAGTGGGAGGACTGGAGACTGACCAGTTGTGCCATGAGCGCCTGCATGACCAGAAGCCCTGCTGCTACAGGTCCCAGAGTTCCTCTGGAGGAAACAGACAGCTCTACATGACCCCGTTTTCCTGGCCACTGCTGGATGGGCTGGGTAGGGGAGGTGTGGACTCCAGAGTACCCCTTGTGTAAACCAGATTTTATGAGGGGATTTGGTGCTAGAGCTCTGTTCAGTAGGGGACTTTTATCAGACAGGGATGCACGGACTCCTTCCTCATTTCTATAGGTCACTTTATAATGAAACCACATTACTGGAAGTAGCCTTGGTGGGTCAATGTTCTTTTAACCCAGAGTTCAACTTGTACAAAGTGATAATACCTTTGAATATCAAGCAACTATTTTGCTAAACAACTGTGGTAAACTTGAAAGAAGGCTAAAGTGTAAGATTTTTTTGTCTTTAAAAAATTGGTAAAAGCAAACTAAACTGCTTAATGCAAAATTCCTACAGTACAGACATGTTTAAATTAAAAATGACATTGCCTGTCTTTGTTGCACCCATTCTCTAACTCCCACTGGAAGATATCCAGTGCTAAGTTTACAGGTGCCTTCACTATTATTATTGCAAGACACTTCAAATCATTTTTGGAAGTGTATGAAATATGTATATAAATGTATAAATAATGATATAAGTAATTAAAATAAATTTCTAACTGGGATTCTTGGTTTATTTTTTATTTCTGGAGTGCACTATTGTCCACACTCCAAGTTAGAATTTCCTTGTTCTTCCTGACCACTCCCAGGCTACTGAATGCACCAGCTCAGTCACAGGGCACTGGAGTGCCATGAGTACCAGGATAATGCTCTCCCTTCTACCATGGCATTGGGAAACACAGCTCAGCCAGGTGCCCATTCATATGACCTTGTTCCTTCTTGGCATGGATTCCACTTCCGGAATTGTTTACCTCTTCTTCTTGTGCCAGATCACTAGCATCTGTTGAGCAATGGAAGGTGGCCCAGTTCATTTTCAGATGACCCCATGATAGGCAGAAACTGGCCCCAGAAATATGTTGATCTGTGGTGCTTCTCCTTGGAGCATTTTGGTTTGGGCAGCCCTATCTGTCTGGGCCCCAGGCCACTGGTCAGTCACCATGACTTAGAGACACAGGAAGGTCTGGTCTCTCTCTCATCAAACCATTCCTTTCACAGCTACCCCAATGCTTACTTCACCTGCTCTTACTGGACTAGGTCTTTCTATACCCATCACCTCCTGGCCAACTCTAGGGCTATTCAAAGGGATGAAAGAATCCTTATTTCTACCTTTACAGACTTGTTACCAACATGACTGAAACAAAAACCTCATTGGTTAGGAAGGGATCTCAGTGTAAGAAATAATCTTGGGATCTCATCTCTCTTGTCATGGCCTCCAGCTGTTACTACTTCTTTAGGTCACAGATAGTCAGTCCCAGATCCTAGTTAATCTTTGGTTTTCCTGAGGGTGTGGGGTGTCTGTATGTAGGCCTGGCAGTCATTATTTTATCTTTAAAAGCTTATTTAAAGAACTAAAAAAGTCATCCAATTTCAAAATTAAAGTGCACAGAATTAGAAGCATATTCTATTTTTACAAAAGTAGTCTACTTTTTAATTTAAGAAGACAATTTGGTAAAGCCAATCCACACAAAAAAGTACCTTTTGGAAGAGTAAAAGTAAAGATTGCTTGTTATGGTTATAACCAGACTGTTGAGCAAGGGATCTAATCCTTAGTGCAATAGAGTCTAGCTCCTCATTTTCACAAAAGTCGGGTATTTTTCCCCAATTGAGAATGCCATTCAAATATTCCAAAAATGATTCCTTAGGTGAAACATATCAGGAATGAATATATTATTTATGTATTCTACTTTAGACCAGATTGAGAAAGCAATAGAGCTGAAGAACTAAGGTTAATTTTTTTTTAAAGCTAAACTTCTCTCAATTTAAACCCATCAAAAATATATTTTTCTGAGTCAAAATAAGCATCACCCATCCACTCATTCATTCAAACATTAGAGAAACTAACGGTAACTGACAGCGTGCCAAACACCTGTGTCCTGAGCAAGGACGTGATGAACTGGGTGGGCATTCTGCTTCAGGCAGCTCCTGGAGACCTCAGTGCTACGCCTGCTATGCAAACTAGAGACAGCATGGCTGAGGGTTATTTCAGTTTAACCAAGTTCATCTCCATAAAGGGCTCCCAGTGAAAAGGGACAGATGAGGAGAAAGACCAGTGAGAGAAACTCTAGCAGAGGAGTTATTATAAAAAATGTATCAACATTTTGCTTTTCAGGATAAACGCAGACTTTCTTTAAAAAAAAAAAAAAGCACTATTAGGGTTAGGACACCTCAGGAAAGTCTTCAGACCCTCCAGGTCCCTGACGGCTGTGCCCAGGTTGGGGCCCAGGACTGGGGGAGTGTCCAGGAGAGGCCCCAGAAGTGACAGGCTAATTTCCTAAGGCATTTTGGAGAACTGCCAAAGCTATTAGACAGCCTGATTACCATCCATCCACCAGTCAGGAGCTTAGCTAAGGCACACCGGAGTGGCCTGCTTTGCCTTCTGCTTTCTGCCTAAGGCCTGCGGGGGCGCTAAACTGACACCAGCCCCGATATAGGCTCCCTAGATAAGAGCCCACCCACTGGCACAGAGTGGCCTCCCTAGCAGCTGCCCCCAGCTGCCCCTTAGGTTCGCCCATGGATCTTACCAAAACCCTCCTCTCTGGGTTCAAATTGACCAATCTGGCCTAGCCTAGGAACCCCAAATCGCTCCACCCACAGACCCTCATAAAAGCCTGTCTCTCTCTTCTCATCATGCCTTGACCTTCCCACGTGGCCCCTCAGTGCAAGCTGTGTACTTCCTCCAGGACCCCTGAATAATAATCTCTGTTTCAATTTCCCTTGTGGTCTTTTGTTAAACTGAGGCTCACCATGGGGCACTCTGTGCTCTACGTAACAAATGTTAATTTAATGAAGTTACACCAGTGTTTGGGATTCACATGGAAAGCAATGAGATGGCCAGAAGAAACCTCGAAACTGTGGAAAAGAGAAAAAACGGGAGTGGAGAGCGATGTCCAGCTTGGCTCTGACCTGATAATGGTTTTCTGAAAAACGATTTCTTAAATTAGAAAATAGGTTCCTGGCATGGGAGACACTACATCTTTCGAAAAAAAAAATTGTCTGGTGGAAACCTTGACCTGATGAACAGGGCATGACATAGAATATTTAGATTTGGGAAAGGGGAGAATATATATTTAAAGCCAGAAAAACTGGGTATTGTGTAGTACAGCACAGGTGACATGACACTTGGATTTACTCTCACAACAGAACATGAAAGAAAAACATGGCTCTAGGGAGGGAGGCCCAGGATCAGGAGATAAAAGAAGATGAGGGCTTGAAACAGTATTAATAACTATACATGCCTGCATCATACATAATAAACAATGTTCCTTTGAAATTCTGCCGCAAAGAAGCACATACAATCTGAGATGGTTTTCCTAATTATGGTTGACTGTGGAAGGATCAAATTCAATAAAAGAACAGATTAAAAAAATAGTTGGGTGATTAACAGTTTTTGCTTGTAGGTAAATTTTTTGCTTGTATATCCTGTAAGGAAAGTCCCAAACTCCTGGTGAGGGCCTAAGCATAACAGAGAGAACAGAGGCCTGCACTCTGAGGGCACCTGCAGATCACACAATCAGTGCATACAGATGAAGGTGTTTCCTTTTTAAAACACAGATTGCAAAACTAGTTCAGATATAAGATGGATGACTTCAGCTGCATAAATAAATCACTCCCAATTTGTCATTTAAAATGAAAATTATAAAGACATAGAAAATGCTTTTTTATAGTGTTTATGTAAAACTATGTACAGGATGATTACAAATATATAAACTCTATATAAAGAAATATGTAAAATACCTAAATATATTTCATATATTACAAATATATAAATAAAATTCATGATTACAAATACATAAATTCAATAGGACTTACAGATGAATATTTTCTTCTCAAATATTAAACTTGGGGGGCTACTTAGATATCAAACTTCAGCAAATAATAAAGACAAAAAGCACTTACCTCATTTAGGTTTAAATTAGCAACTATCAAAACAGTGGGGTTCCCTTCTAATCCTGCTTGAGTAAACATCTTTTTAAAGTCTCCTTTGAATTCTCTATAGGCGTAATTGTGAGACGCAGGCACTCGGTGTGGTTTGTATTCTGCCAAATAACAGGCTAAGGCTGCACAGGCCTTTTTCCCACATCCATCGATTCCAATCTTTGGCAGAAAAAAAACCCAAAATATGATTCTTGTATATGCTTTCAATGTACAGATTTCTATTTGTATGTGCTAGAAATTTACACTGTAAAAATAACTTGGACTATTTTTATAACCTTTGTGGGAGGTATATTAAATACAGAGTATTTTATCTAAGTTTTATAAGGCATTCATGCACATTCAATACCTTCATCTTTTCTCTTGATAGCCTCTGGAAATATATGAGATAACTTCACTGAAAAGATAACATAATCTGGAAAAATGGCATTGATAGGCTTATAAATCATCACTATGCTACTGCCAATATTTGATTCTTCATTTATAGGAATTTAGGTAAGTGTTTTCCTATTTGGCAATAAACAATGAGTGCTCTTTGGTAATGACGAAGTATTACCTTCTTAAGCAGCTTTGTTGAGGTATACTTTGCAGACAACACATGCTTTTAGTGTAAGATTCAGCGATTTATAGTGAATTCACAGTTATGCATCCATCACCACAATCCATTTTTAGAACATTTCTATCTCCCCCAAAGATCCCTCAAACCTATTTGTGGTCAATCCCTTCCCAATTCCAGGAAACCATTAATAGACTGTCAATACAGATTTGCCTTTTTTGGACATTTCCTATACATGGGATCACACAGTATGACGTCTCCTGCATCTGACTTCTCATAGCGTAACAGTTTTGAGGTTCTGTCACGTTGTAATGTGCATCAGCAAGGAGTTAGTCCCTTTTTATTGCTGAATAGTGTTCTATTGAATGGAGAGACCACGTTTGTTTATCCATTCTCTCACTGATGGACATTTGGATTGTTTCTGCTTCTTGGCTATTATAATAATGCTTCTGTGAACATTTATGGACAAGTCTTTGATTGGACTTCTGCTTTATTTCTCTGTGTAGATACATAGGAATGGAACTGCTCAGCTGTAGGGTTTTACTTTACTTTACTCTATGTTAAACTTTACAAAAAATGGTCAAACTGTTTTCCAAAGTAGCTGTACTATTTTACATTCCCACCAGCAATGTATACAAGTTCTAGTTTATCCACATCCTTGCCAACACTTGCTGCTGACCACTTTCTGATGGTAGTCATTCAGGTGGGTATGTAATGGTATCTCAGTGTGGTTTTAATTTGCATTTCCCTAATAATTAATGATGGTGAGTATCTTTTCAAGTATCTTAACATCTTTCCTTGTTAGCCTTCATGTATCTTTTCTGGTGAAATACCAAATATTTTAGCCATAAATTGAAAAAAAACTTTAGACAAGTTTTTGAATTACAATTAAATTGCCAAGATAGTAGAGGGACTTTTTCATATATCCACATGCAATTTCTCCTATTATTAACATCTAATATTAGAATGATATACTTATTACTGTAATTAAATAATATTAATACATTTTATTAACTAAAGTCTGTATTTTATTCAGGAGTCCTTAGTTTTTACCTAACGTCCTTTTTCTCTCCCAGGATCCCATCCAGTTACCACATTCCAGTGAGTCATATCTCCTTGGGCTCCCCCTGATGGTGACAGTTTCAAGCTTTTGCTGTTTTTGGTGCCCGTGACAGTTGTGAAGAGTACTGATCAGGCATTTTGTAGAATGCCCCTCAGTTGGGACTTTCCTAATGGTTTGTTCGTGACCAGCTGGGTGATATGTTTTTGGGAGGAAGACCACAGGGATGAAGTGACATTTCCATCACATCATATCAAGGGTGCATACTGTCAGCAGGACTTACCACTGCCCATGTGGACCTTGGTTGTCTGGATGAGGTAGTGTCTGTCAGGCTCCTCCCCAGTAAAGGTACTCTATTTTTTGCCTTTCCATACTGAACTCTTTGGGAGAAGGTGACTGTAGTGGCTAACAGTTGAGTAGGGAGCTATGCTCCAGCTCTGAGTGCAGAGAGTATCTGCAGACATTATTTGGAATTCCTGAGATTTGTCCATTTTCCCCCTTTTATTTATTTATGCAATCATGTATTTGTATGCATTGGCTCATGGATATATATTGCTCACATTGGGTTATAATCCAGTTCTACTTTATCAATTTTGTTGTTTCGGGTATAGTTATTGGGAACTTTTTCTATTGGCTCTTGTGTCCCTTTGTCATACTCCCACCATTGTGATTTTTTTAAACACTTCCTTTTCAGCACAAGATACTCCTTGCTCATACAAGATACTTGTGCCAGCCCTGTAAGAAGCCATTTTCCCAAGGACCCCTGGTTCCTTTTATGTAACCTCCCATTCCAGCAGTGAGAAAACTGGCTCTGACCATCTGCTATCCTTCACTTATTCACTCAGTTGCAGCATATATATAGTGGCTATATATATGGTTAACCTTGCTCCCAAAGGATGCTACCTTATTAACTAGAGCCCTGTGCTTGTGTACAGTTTCTTCACCTTTAATCTCACTGACCCCACTCATTTCCAAAGTTTCCGAGGTCATCTTCTTTCCTCCCACCTTCTTCAATAAGATTGCTTCTCAACATTTGCAACCCAGTTTGATTACTTTATGATGTTCTGCATTCCATCTTGGGGTCCTCAGATCTCCTAAACAATTTTTTTAATTTGCATATGTTCAGGTTCACTCTTTGTGCTGGAAAGTTCTATGGGTTTTGACAAATGTATGGGGCCATGTGTTCATCATTACAGTATGATACAGAATAGTCTCACCATCCTAAAGAAATCTCTCGTGTTTCACTTTCCCTCCTCCCTCCAAACCCTTGGTAACCACTGACATTTTTACTGTTTCCATAGTTTTGTCTTTTTCAGATGCTACATAATTGGAATCACACAATGTGTAGTATTTCCAGACTGTCTCCTTTCACTTACTAGTTTGTATTTAAGATTTGCTTATGTCTTTTTGTGGCTTGATACCTTAGTTTATCTCTGAATAATATTTCATTGTACCATAGTTTGTTTATCCATTCACTTATTGAAGGACATTTTACTTGTTTCGAGTTTTTGGCAGTTACAAATAAAGTCACTATAACCACTCATGTGCAGGTGTTTGTGAGGACATTTTCAAACATGTTAGATAAACAGGTAGGAGCATAATTGCTAGATTCTGTGGTAACATGGTGTTTAAGCTTTGTAAGAAGCTGCCAGTCTTCCAAAGTGACTGGGCTATTTTGCATTCCCACCAGCAATGAATGAGGGTTCCTGTTCCTCTGTATCCTTGCTAGCAATTCCTATTACCAGTTTTATAAATTTTGGTCACTTTAATAGCTGTGTAGTGATACCTCATTGTTGTTTTCCCTAATGACAGATATACTGAGTGTCTTTTCATATGCATTTGTGAGGTGTTTATTTTTAATTGGGTATTTTTTCCTTAGAATTTTCTATAAACAGGATCATGTGGAATGTGAGTGAAGACAGTTTTACTTCTTTTTCCAATCTGGATGCTTTTCTCCTTTTTCTTGCTTAGTTGCACTGGCTAGAACCTCCAGCATAGTGTTGAATAGAAACATCCTTGTTTTGTTCCTAGTCTTAGTGGAAAACATTTGGTCTTTTACCTTTAAACATGAGGTTGGTTTCAAGTTTTTCATAGATGCCCTTCATTGGGTTGATGACGTTCCCTTCTATTACTTTTTGCTGAGATTTTTTAAAAAGTCATAAATGGTATTGGATTTCATTGAATAAATTTTCTGCACAGGTGATCACATGGTTTTTGACTTTTATTCTACTACTATAGAGAATTACATCAGTGGAGTTTTAGATGTTAAACCAAACACGAATTCCTAAAATAAATTTCCTTGGCCATGGTGTATATTGTTTATTTGTGGTTGCATTTGGCTTGCTAGTATTTTGTTCATAATTTTTACAATTATTTCACAAGGGATATTAGTCTGTAATTTTCCTTTTTCATGATATCTTTGTCTAGTTTCAGTATCAGGGTGATTCTGGCCTCATAGATGAGTTGGAAGTATTCCCTTTTCTATTTTCTGAAAGAGTTTGTGAAGGATTGATTTAATTCTCCCTTAAATGTTTGGTAGAATTCTCCAGTATAACCACTTGGTCCTGGATTTTTCTTTGTGGAAAGTTTAAAAATTCCTAATTCAATACATTTATTTGTCATTTCTATTCTTAAAGTCTATAAGGTCTATTAAGATTTCCTATGTCTTCAGTTTAATAATTTGCATCTTTCTAATAAGTGTCCCTTCTGTCTAAGTTATCTAATGTGTTGGCAAGCAGTTGTTCATAGTGTTAACTTATTATCCTCTTATTTTTGTAATGTTGGTAGTTACGTCCTCTCTTTAGTTCCCTGTTTTAGTAAGTGGAGTCCTCTCTCTGTTTTTCTCCTGGTCAGTCCAGCTAAGGGTTTGTCAACTTTGTTGATCTTCTCAAAGAACCAACTTTTGGTTTCCTTGATATTCTCTATTATTTTTCTTTTCTTTACTTTCTTCTCTTATCCATATTGTTTCCTTCTTTCCGCTGGCCTTTGCTTTAGTTTTCTTTCCTGTTTTGTGGTTTCCTAAGGTACAAGGTTAGGCTATTTATTTGAGATTCTCCTTTTTTTTTAATAGACATTTATAGCTATAAGTTTCCCTCTAAGAAATTTAGATGTTTCCAAATCAATATTCAAGTAAGTATGCTATTTTTGAAGCCAAGAGTCAAATGCACAAATACTATATTAATGCTGACTATATGTTAGATGTGATGCCAGATCCATCACTTTTGTTCACATCAAATTTGTTCCAAAAACAAATAACATTTCTATATGCTCATAACTTTCTTATGCAAACTCTAGAGAGGACAAGGACCTGGTCTTGTGACTCAATGACTGTAAGCTTTCATAAATGGGAAGTCTAGAGAAATAAAACTTCTGTAAGCAAAATAGATTTTACTAGATTTCCTTAATTTTTATCTTGCAAAGTTAAAAACATTTGAAAAGTTTAAATTCCTACTAGCAACACATGGCTCCCTGTTTATTGAAGGACCCTTGTAGCTCTTGTGATGTGTTCTATGGCCTCCTTGAAGAAAACCATGGGATGAGAAACCTAACAGAGGAAATGGGAAAATACACTGATTACAGGCATAGGAAAATCCAATGTGCATTGGGGTTTTCCATGTAAGGATACAAGATTGAGAGTGACTAGTCTAGTAATCTAGACCCAGCAAACTGGTTTGCATTTATGGAAAATAAACTTGTGTGATGAGGGTTATCCCTATGTCAATACTCTGGAGAGCAAGATTATTGTGGTCGTAGGCTTGGGAGGAGAGGATGAGAGAACAGTGGCATCTCAGCTGTTCCTCTATTGCTCTGTTTTGAAGTAGAATGAGTGCTTGGAGGAAGAGTCAGGAAATTAGCTTATGGCATCTCTGATTTTGTTGG